GTTCTAGAGGACTTCCAAGCCTCATTTTCAGGCACTAAGTGGCTTTTGCAGAAGTTCTTTGATTTGAGAAGAACTTTGATTGCAGAAGTTTGATTTGAGAAGAACTTTGATTGCAGAAGTTCTTTGAAAATGATTTTGGAAAGTTGCGCTGCTTTCAAGATTTTTATGGCGCTGTTGCCGCGTTTAGTTTGCGGTTTTCTGCCTCAGTGGTTCACTTAGGGGATTTTCTAGCCTTATTTCCAGTCACTAGGTGGCATTTGAGGAAGTTGTGGGTGGTTTTAAGTTTTTTCAGGCGCCGTTGCCGTGTCTACGTTTTTCTGGCTGCATAGTTGATCTGGAGGACTTTCAAGTCTCATTTCCAGTCACTTAATGGCTTTTCAGGAAGTTGTTCACCCAAAAAAGTGATTTTTGCAGGTTGTCGCGTTAGTTTCGCACTTTTTAAAGCGCAGTTGCCAAATCAATTTTCCGCTTGTTTCCATTCCTCACTACAAAAGTGAATCAGGAAAACCTGCCAGCAAAGTCTCATTTCGAATCCGCTAGTGGCATTTGTAGAAGTTGTTGAACCGAACGAAATTGGTTTGGAAGTTTTTTGGGCAACTTGAGCTTCTCAGGGCGCTGTTGCCGTCTGTTTTGTCGCGTTTTTTGCATTCAAGGCCTCTTTGAAAAATTCTAAATATTTTTTGAGGAGGTTTTCAGCAAAAGCGTTAGTTTAGAAGATTTCAGCATAATTTTGAAGATTTTATTTTCTGTTTGTTGCGAATTTTTGTGCATTTTTCGTGCATTTAGAAGACTTTCTAGTTACACGTGAGTCTCCCAGTGGCGTTTGAGGACGTTGGTGGAGGTCTTAAGCGAAAAAGGGGGTTTGTAAAGTTTTCCGCGGCTTTTAAGCTTTCTAAGGCGCTGTTGCCATTTTTCCTTAGCGCTTTTTTGCGTTTTTCTGGTTCAGCAGTTGATCTGGAGGACTTTCCAGTCTCATTTCCAGTCACTCGGTTGGTTGGTGGTTTGCAAAAAAGGTGATTTTTGCAGGTTGTTGCGCGACTTTCGCACTTTTTTGGGCGCAGTTGCCAAAACAATTTTCCGCTTGTTTCCATTGTGCACTACGAAAGTTCATCAGGAATACCTGCCAACCTCACTGCTGTCCCCTTGAAAGCTTGTGCCCTCCGGGCATGCCAGTGTTGCCGGCTTGGCGTCGAAAGTTTAGGTCATCCTAATTAAACGACGAAAACTTCGATGATCTTTTCGGGCGCGGCGGGTAATCGCTGG